TCTGGAATTTAGGATAGCACCCAACCGACTCTCATTCAAGAGGAAAGTTCGAGCTCGCATTCTGGACACCCTAGCAGATTCATTACAACCTTAAAGTTTTATATATTATCAATATGTAGGTTTATGTACGTATGTAACTAGGTAAGTAAGTATGTGTATGTATTTGGTACGTTTGTGTGTATGTATTTATCTCAGAGTTTCTGTCTAACTTCTCAATAATTTTCTCTTACTTTACATATCAATCTCTAGTGCACCTAGTCACACATTTCAGCACCACCCTAAGTTAGACTGAGAGAAAATGCCTGTGGCATTAAGTCCGCCATTTTACAATCCATACTTGTGCATAAAGTATTAAATTAAAATAAATATGTAACATATTACATCCTACGATGGATGTTTGTTACTCAGTCATACCAGAACGGCTGGACGGACCTGGATAAAGTTTGACACAGAAACACACAACACAGATAGGGGTGCGGGTTGGGTAACCTCCACGTTGGCTTCTTCGTTTCTTTCCCCGTTGGACTGCGGTCCACGGGAGCGCGGTACGCGGGCTTGCCTTAACTGGCCGGCCCGCGTCAAGGAAAAGACTTTAAAACCCGACAGTTAAGTCGCTAAAAACCTGGCGCTGCCGTCGACTCGTGCGCTAGCGAGGTGATGGCGCCCAAGAGGAGGGGCTTTGCAGGGGCGGGATCGAGCTGGACTAGCTCTCCTGGCGGGATCGAGATGGACTAGCTCTCCCGCCCCGCAGGCCACGAGAGTCGCCACGGGCGGTGGGTCGGGGCACCTGCCGCCCCATGCTAATGTGGCGGAATGCGCCCCTCTGTGTTCATGGGGTGCATTCTTGAGGAGGACAGGCCCCACCATCTGGGCACGAGGCGAGCCCGTTATATTGCCCGTATAGATTATAGTCTTACATATACATAGTATGAGCCGAAGGGAAAAACTACTCAGAATAACAGCACTGCAGAGAAAAGGAAAACTTGACACAAACCCTATACCTAGCCGTCTGGCCAGCGTGGTATAGTAGGCCAAAACCTCCTTTCTAAGGAGAGGCTTATGTCCAGCAGTGGACTATTAAAGGATGTTGATGTTTATGATGATGATATATTATAGACTGGAATAGCACATAGGCTTCTTATATCGAGCAAAACTTAGAGCGAAGCCACTGATAAAAGCCAGTTGATCATATTTTTGTTACAAAGATGAAATATCGCGCTTCTGTAATTCTTATGTATTATAGAAATCTGTACCAACTTCGATTTATGACCTAAGGTATATTTCTCTATAAACTTGGCTCATATTGGATATAAAAATAGGATATCAATTACTTTGGGCCGGCAGCTTGAGTTATTATACCGGTTCCGGCTCCATGCCTCAAATATCTGGTTTCCTTCAAAGCCGTACAAATATTATTTTTGGCAATTTATTATCTGCGTCTCATAGGACAGATTGTAGGTGTGAAATAATATCTATTTGTTGTCGTGTTATTTATTTTATCGCCATTACTTATGGTATATGTTTTCCGGTTTCTTGAAATAGATTGAAAGTTATCTTTCCTATGGCCTCACAACATCTGTGACCAATCATAGATTGTGGTACACATATTTGTTATTTTCTCTACTGGCTGAGATGGATTTTAATTTTAGGAAAGAATGTATAATAGAGTTTAGAACTCTCATTTAAAAACAATAAATTGATTTTATTTGCCCTTTTGTTTAGTGGTTGTGGTCGTTATTGCTGAGTCAGAGGTCGTAGTTTCGACTTAAATCAAGGACAAATATGTGTATGATCAGCACGATTTTCATCTTACCTCGGAGCCTTTTTCCTAAACTAGATTGGGTCAGCTTTAAGGCGACTACGATAGGGCTGATATGATATGATCAGCACAATTTTTTGTTCTGTTATCGGGTGTAATTTATGTATAATATGTATGCACACTGGTTAGCATAGCACAGGCTCGGACTGATCGGGTATCAAACGGCTGTGTGTAAGATTTGTCAAGTTTTAATTATCATTTATAATAGCGACATAGGACGGCTCCCAATTCCTGGTGGTACGGGAGCTTGCCAAATTCTTAGAAAGTGCGACAGGACAATCCAGCTTATTTAACTCGATCATATCATAACGGATTGTTAATTTTCATCATCATCATCATCAACAATAGGCTGTTGATGATGATGATGATGATGAAAATTGTCTAAAGTTCTTAAAATTATTATATTTAGTTATTACAAAGATTATATTTAAAAAAAGAATGACCGTCTAGCAAGGGCCAGCGTGTGGCCAAAAGCAGTGGACTATTATAGAATAGTCCACTGCTGGACATAGGCCTTTCCTTAGAAAGGAGGTTTTGGCCTACTATACCACGCTGGCCAGACGGGTTGGTATAGTATTTGTTTCAAGTTTTCCTTCTTTTTGCAGTGCTGTTGTCCTGTATAGTTTGTTAACTTGGTCGGCTCTTACGACACTATCGGGATGAAAAGGGGTGGTGACATTTCGTGTTCTTAATCCGTCACCACACGGTATGATGTTAATTTTACTTAAAGCAAAATATATAAATTGTGGAGACTTCACAAAACATAAAGTCCAAAAATATACTTTATTTTCATTCATTCAAATGTTTTCACCCGTCTTATGGAACGGGAAGTTTACCCAGAAAACACACAGGTGCTGCGATCCCAAACCTACTGACCTATTTAAATAGATTTTGATTATGAACAGTGATCTCTAAAAATATTTTGGCCAGGTAAACAAGTTCACGAGCTGTGTTGATTCTTTTTCATCAACAGCCTTTATTAGTTCACTGCTGAAAATAGGCCTCTCTTTAGAAAGGAGGTTTTGGCCACACGCTGGCCTTTGCTAGACGGTCATTCTTTTTTTAAATATAATCTTTGTAATAACTAAATATAATAATTGTAAGAACTTTAGACAATTTCGCGTGCGTTGTAAGAATATGTTTCTAGAGGGTATTCAGTGTAAAATAAATCTTTATCATCACTGCTAACGATTTAGGTATTAAATGGTGTAGTTTTTGGTCAATTAGGAATCTTTTTAAGTATTAGACTCTAACAAAACAACAAACCGTTTAATTAAAATGTATCATTAGGATACAGATTAAAAGGCGTTTGCAGCTTTTTGTTAAAATAGTCACATTTAAGGATATAAGTAATTTTGATGATGATGAAACTTTAAACATCACTAGCTGACCCGGCAAACGTTGTATTGCAAAACAAAAAAAAATTAGGGATGAGTCACCCTTACCATTTAGGGGTATGAAAAATAGATGTTGGCCGATTCTCAGACCTACCCGATGTGCACACAAAATTTCATGATAATCGGTCAAGCCGTTTCGGAGGAGTACGGGAACGAACATTGTGACACGAGAATTTTATATATAAGATTATGATACGATAACTAGACTACGATAACTAGAATCCCACGCTACCCTTGCCCGCTATTTAAGGTCCCACGAGCCCGGACGAATTTAGGGAAGCGAGCACCAATTGCTAGGATGACTCGCGAATATGACACCATTTCAGTTGCTTCGGAGGACATAGACATCTTTTCTAATAGTCTGGGTAAATTTAAAAAAAAATGTTCGCACTCATATATTGAACACTGTGTGATTGTTGACGTACCCCCTTACCATTTGAATTTTGAATTTTAACTGCTGCTGATTTACAATTTTTTGCACAATTGATTATTTTAATTCTTACATTGTTTTTTTTTTTATTTGCAAAGGCCATTTGCGGCCACTGTTTTTAATCTATTTTTTTGTAATGTCCATGTTGTGGTCTCCTATAATTGAGGAAGCACAAGACTTAAAATTTTATTTGCTTTATAACTAGCATGTAAGGTGTATTTCTTGTTGGAGATTCAATAAAAAAATAAAATAAAAATAAAATTACTTTAATAGAGGTATGTCCAAATTTTTTTTTTCTTATATAGAGGAATCATTTGGAAAATGTTATTAGGTAGGATCCATAGGAGAACGGTGCACAGGACGTGCGAATGTACGATTGAAAGACCTCCATAAACATTGCAATTAGGTTTGGCTTCTAGGAGTGATTAAACACACTACCGTTGGTAGGAATAGTCATTGGATCCATATGTGTGTAGCAAACGGCTATCAACAGCATAGCTGACTATCCATTAATCATAAGATGGTGCAACTCTTCGGCTAAAGTTAGCCATAGAGTAAAAACGTTTTAGCAAAGCAATTATGTATTCACTACTACGACTACGTAAACTACAAGAAGCTTTTGTGTTCCTAATATTTATAGAACTTGACTTGACTGCACGGATGGCGTAGTGGTTTAAGCGGTCGCCACGCCGCTTCCTATTACGCCGAGTGGAGGAGGGTTCAAACCCCACATGGAACAACACTTTGTGTGATCCACAAATTGTTGTTCTGGGTGTACTTTGTGTCCGTTTTATGTATGTTTGTAAAGTCCCCCGCGACACAGGATTTATTCCTAGTGCGGAAGTTGTCTTTTTAAAAAAAAAAAACGAATCTAGATTAGTAACTTAAGAGATTGTTATCACATTTTTTCACAATATACTCTTTACATAATAAAAATTAATATAGTGGTAGTAGTAGTAGGCTTATCCGTGTGGTGACGGATTAAGATTACTCGTACAGTGTGTCACCACCCCTATTCATTCCGTGGGTGTCGTAAGAGGCGACTTTGGGAGCTGCAAAACAACAGCACTGCAAAAAGAAGGAAAACTTAAAACAAACCCTTTATCAACCCCTCTGGCCAGCATGGTATAGTAGGCCAAAACCTCCATTTTAATTAGAGGCCTATGTCCAGCAGTGGACCGTTAATGGCTGTTGATGATAGCGGTAGTATCGTAATGGCTAAGCCTTCCACAAGCATTGGAAGGGTTACCAAAACAATAGTGATATATTGTGTGTTTATTATTATAAAATATAATACCAGTTTATTGCTCAAAAAACTGATTAAAAGGGTACATTTAAAATGAATAATACTTACAGAAATGACAACAAGAGCATTGCCAACAGCGCCAATAACTACCAAGATGCCGTAGAAAGTGAGAAGGAGTGCTCTGGTCGGATCATCAACTTTTTTGTTTTGTGAGAATTTCTCAAGAAGAATGTTAGGATCCTGGATGCCTCTTGATGCTTCTATCAGCCATCTTGCCGAACCATTAAGTGTCAGGTTTAAGTTAAGATCCAGCCCCTGAAACAAAAGAAAAACAACAATTTCATTTTATGCCTTGTTTCATAAAGAAATGTAAAAATAAACAATGGAAAAAAAGTAATTGAAATTCACATAAAAATTGATGACGTTTTTAATGTGCACCTGCTCGTTTCTAAAAAAAAACAACAATCACAGATATGCGACCCATTTTAAAGATTTATTTAAGAGGACTGGAATAACTAACTTAGACCAAAGAAATAACTAGACGACTTATGAAGAAAAATAAGTTTGATACGTAACCCACGTATCAAACTTATTTTTCTGTCTGATTGTATTAAAGTGGTTGATGTATTAAAGTTGATTTTCACTGTACCGCTAAAACTACACTACTCAGGGTAAACGACTAGCCTCTAGCAGCAGGACTGTGAGGGAAATCGCTCCCAGTCCCAAAACCTCGAGTCATGTGCTCTTTTGCATATTAATGACTTTATTAATATGCAAAAGAGCACATAATTCGAGTGCCACTGCAGTCTTAATATCTATGTAAAACTAATGAGAAATATCCTCTAGCCGAGTACAACCATCGTTGTCCGGCGCCATTTTGTTATGAATGTGACGTGGCGGCAAAAAATAAAATTTAATGGCAATTCAACTTTATACTCGTAGTATGTGTACTCTTTGCCAGTAATATAACAAAACGTATGTTTTCGTTTTCTGATTATTACCAAGTAGGTAAAGAAGACCGTGTCGTGATGGGTAAAGGCTACACATCACGTGGGTGTCGACTAAGGGAGCAAACGACGCATTGCAAAGAGAAAGAAAACTTGAAACAAACACTATACCAACCCGTCTGCCCAGCGTGATATAGTATGCCAAAACCTCCTTTCTAAAGGCAGGTCTATATCCAGCAGTAGACTGCGAAATGCTGTTGATGACGATGATGATGTAATCAAACATGATTTGTTCTGTTAAAATGCACAAAATTGTTATATTTTAAGGTGAAACCAGCTGTAGTCGCCAAATGGTATTGGAAATAAGCTTTGCAAATTGCAGCATAGTTTAGATACAGCTAAATTGAAAGTACTTATACGAGGTATTAGTGCAGAATATAATCTCATCATTGGTTTAGTGAATACAAAAGGCGATGCAAAACTAGACGAAAATTTCAAACACGGCACGAGCAAAGCGGCAAAGTTTTCAGAGAAGCCTTTGTTTCATTGTGAAATGTGTTCTGTCTTAATTAAAAGTATCCAATAATGAGAGGTAAGGTTCACGTTGAAGCCACGAGTATAGTTTTAGCTGACACTGTGAGTATATTATCAAAAACACCCAATATAGAGACCGAATTCCTTTATCTTTTTTGAAAAAGACAACTCCCGCACTATGAATATATCCTGTGTCGCGGAGGACTTGACAAACATTCATGAAACGGACACAAAGGACACCCAAACTTAGAACAACAATTTGTAGATCACACAAAGTGTTGTCCCATGTGGGGATCGGACCCATAATACTCTAAAACTGGCGAGGTACTCGACAAATTCATAGCATAAAAATAAATCCCTTTCAAAATGCAGCAGATTTTATAAATTGAGCTTATTGTGAAGAAAAAAGTCTGAAATACGTAATAAAATAAAATATTTAGTAAAAACTTAAAAGAATCTAAGTCAATCTACGCTATAATAGAGAATTCTACTCCATATGAAAATCAGTGAACTCCTTTCTAAGATAATAAACAACAATGTTAAAGAAAAGAAAATCAACTTAACGTTACACATTTTAAAGTCCATTTTTATACTTACCCTTGCCAACAAATACCTTATTCAGATAAAGAAGTATTAGTATTATATGGGTATAAGCCAAAATTTTCGTTATAATATTTTTATCGTGCGAATGGAAGACAGGATTTTCATAGCGATAACCAGATTAGAATAGCTTAAAAGATTATAAGATAGCAAGCACCATTTAGTCATATTGAGTGTTCGGGTTTAGTTACAAATAGTATACGAGTATCTACGAAAACATTTTGTTTATCAACGCTAATAGAATTAGTTGTAGTATGTTTTTGTTGAATATGATTTTACTCTCCACTAATGTGTGTACCTCCTTTCTAAGGAGAGGCTTATGTCCAATATACTACCATATATGGTAGTTCCCGTTGACCTAGAATCACGAAATTCGGCAAAAAGAAACGTCAGCATAAAAAAATGAATAATGCTAAAAAATCAAAAAGTTGAAAATTAAAATAAATTTAGGGGACTTACAAATTTTCGCAAAAATCTACTTAAAATATGGTGAGGTACGGAACCCTCGGCGCACGAGTTCGACTCGTACCTGACCAGTTTTTTTTTGATAAATTTTCATAAACCATATTCTTCATTTCTTGGCTTAATCCCTTGGAAACGGGCAGTTACTGAGCGGCACAGTTGCTGATTGATCATAGACTATGTATTAGTAAAAAATTTATGAAATTTATTTTGCTAACTATTTGACAAAATAGAGATTGTTGCTATCGTGTGTGTGTTAATCTACGACTTTAGAGTCTACATAAAAGACGATTTCAATTATTTATTTTTTATGAAATAAATATATTTTAAGTTTGAGTTTAAGGATGGATTTAAAAAAAAATAAGTGGGATCATCAGTGCATGAATACCACTTCTCGTTTCATCCTAAATAAAAAGAAAAGCTTTCAAACTCGGTTCATAAAGGATGGAGTTTTGAAGTAACAGACAAAAAAAAATTGAATATTGCAATGATACTTGTATTGTGTAGTTAGTTCGTGAACAATCGAGAGTCGTTTGGAATCTGGAGGACAGCGCCGTCTAGTATTGAGTAGGGTACAACGAATACTACGCTTTGAGATTATGGTTTATAATAATTATAAACCACAATCTCAACGAGTAGTATTCGTTGGAATTATTCCAACTACAAAAGCATACATAATAAATATTAACCATTAAATAACAGGACATTAAATCTTTATTTTGAGTACTGTTTTTTTAGGCCAGTCTCAGGTACTTTGGGGATTACCAGGACCATGTGATTGCCGTTCCCTCCACCCGGTTCGACGAGCACAAGCACTTATTTATAGAAACAATAATAATTATTAATATAAACGAGTTCTTGAGTGTAAACGTAGTGCAGGACGCCCACAGGCCAGGTGGAGTGACGATTTGCGCAAGATGGCTGGCAGGAGCTGGATGCGAGAATCCCAAAATCGATCTAAGTGGCGTGCACTGGGAGAGGCCTATGTCTAGCAGCGGACTGCGATAGGCTGATGATGATGATGAATATGATACCTTAATACTCTTTTTTTTAGGTCTAACTTTCTGTGTCATTTATGTCCCTCGTTCCTTTTGATACTTAATATGTAACGTGGCACACTTTCACGAAGAAATAGATTAGAAATACTAATAAAACTTTCACGAAAAACTTATGATTACACTCTGGTACCATTGTAATAAGCGACAAATGGCACCTTAGCGTATCCAAGAAAATTTAGTCCCTAACTTTTGCTTTTAGAGCTCAGAAATAACAAAAAAAACATCATCCAAGTGTGACTAACAAGAACAAATGGACTTTTCGTTTATTATTCTTCTTGTGTTGATTAAGTTACGAATTCGAAGAAATTTTATACAAATTACACACGGGTAATGCTTTTTGAGTTTATTTGATCATATTTAGTAATAATAGTAATAATATTTTTTGACTAATATGTTAATACATATTACACTGTAATCAGTGTTGGATATTTTGATTTAAAATAGATCTTAAAAAACCTGTTGCCTAATGAAATCGTGTGGTGACGGATTAAGAATACAGCGTATCACCACCCCTATTCATCCCGTGGATGTCTTAAGAGCCGAGTAAGGGAGAAAACTAAGCAGAACATCAGCACTGCTGAGAGGAGGAAAACTTGACACAAATCCTATACCAACCCGTCTGGCCAGCTTGGTATAGTAGGCCAAAACCTCCTTTTTAAGGAGGCTTATGTCCAGCAGTGGACTATTAAAGGCTGTTGATGTGATAATTAAATTTACTTTAAAAACATAAATAGATGCCTATCTAAACTAGGATAAACCTGTGTTTTAGGCGATATAGGATACTAGCTATTGTCCTGGCTTCGCTCGCTTATTTACTTCTCATTTCGTGTTTCTGACTTTGATAATGACGAACTTCCATACAACTATTCATGCCTTACTTTACCTCCTTAGGGTTAAAATTTCCTGCACCAGGGCCTTCCTTTCTAGGGTATATCTGGTTTCCCGGCTATCGGCGTGCGGTATTAGTCGGTTCGGGTCCGACATGCTACCGACAGGTGGTATCCGAGGGGATTTCCGCACGGAAAAAAAAAAAAAGGGTAAAATTTCCTGTCCCAGGGATTTCTTTTCTCCCAGGGATTTCCTTTCTAGGGTACACCTGGTTCCCCGGCTACTGGTACCCGAGACGGGGTGCGGTTTTTGGTCGGTTCGAGTCCGATATAATCCGAAATAAATGTTAGTCAATTTGTTAGTGCATGAGCCGTTTTAGTTGATTACTGTTGCTAACAGGTTTCACTGAATCATGTTTGTCGATATCGCTTATAATCTCATGTAACATTATATTTATTATTATTTCATTTTTTTTTTGGTACTTCATATATCCCTACAATACGAAGTAGCGTATTATGTTCTTATTAAGATAACTAATGCTGGTGTTACTAATAGTTTCTTGCATAATTAATCATCTCAACTAAGCTAACTAATTAATATCCACGTTATTCGTCAACTGGCGGATATAATCTATGTTTGGACACATATACCAATCTTTGTAAAAGATATTCCTATGAACGCATAAGCAGTTTCATCATCATAAGCCTATCCCCGTCCACTACTGAACGAAGGCCTCACCTAAGGAGCGCCAACTATTCCAGTCTTGGGCAGTCTGTATCCATCCAGGCTACCAGCAACTTGAAAAATCAGTTATAAACAGTTTATAGACCCGTTATTCAGTTCGTCTGGATTCCTAGGTATACAGTGCTTTTTGTTACGCATATAATTAAATCAAATATTAGCTTATTTAACTCGAGTACTTTCTAAGGATTCTTTCTTTCAGGCTTTCCTTTTCTCTCTCTCTGCTGAGTACAAATTTGAATTTATGAATCCTTTTAATGAGACTCGCAGTGAAGAAAGCCTGAGACTCAAAGGGTCATCACCTTGCCACTGGCTAATGGGCGTAATACTTGACAAGACTTTTCGAACAACATAATTAGCACCGCTATCAAATTCGTTTATTCTAAAATTCCTGTCATCATCATCATCAACAGCCTTTAATAGTCCACTGCTGGGCATAAGCCTCTCCTTAGAAAGGAAAAAATAAAAAAAATAAAAATACCTGTACTTAGAATTAAAGTACTGGAAACATGCAAAATGGTTTTAAAATTCATGTTTTTTTAATCAATAAAAAAAAAAATTTATTCGTGTCGGGTTTTAAGTAGATCACTTCAAATAAATTGGATTTAGAATTGCTAACGAGGTACGTCAAATTAATGGCTAGCGGTATGCTGATTGAATATCAGAATGGACGTGCTATTGAAAATACTGTGTAAATTTAAGCAGCATGGACTTTATTAAATGTAGCCTACAAAATAACGTAGATTTGAAATGTAAATAATTTGGTTTGCTATTGTTATAAATTGTTCATACGTGCAATATAATCAGAACATTTCCATTTTAGTTTTCGACAGTTTTCCAAAGCATCTATTATTTTTGTGGTTTGGTATAACGTGCAAAATATATGGTATGATAAAACTTCCAATACGAGAACTAGTGATATAATTAATAATAGTCAATTATATATTTTTAAAGTATATTGATGGCATTAGGTTTGCCATCCCTAAACCTATAGCTGGCAAAGTATACTTCAGTCTATTCCCGTCCACTGCCGAATGACCCCCTCCCCCAAAGAGCGCCAACCATCCCGGTCTTGGGCAGTCCGTATCCATCCGCTGCCAGCCATTTTCCTCAAGTCGTCGGTCCATCGTGCAGTAGGGTGCCCTACACTACCAGCAGGCTCCAGCAACCATCACTTCTGGAGACATAACACACTTCCACTTCAGCATACTGATTCTCTGTACGATTTCAAATACTCCAATTCTCTTTCGAATCGTTTCTGGTTTGTTCTAAACCTGACATAGTGTATACGTCTAACACACCGCTGCCTTCGAAAATATAAAAGCGGGACTATACAGACACGCTTATATATTTTACTTACATACGTATGTAAAAGAAAAAACTACAGTCCTAAAACTGTGACTATAGAACCTTCCAGGTCTAAGTTAAAAGATCGAATAGGAACATTTTGCGTAGATTTGTTTTATTGCAAACGAACTAATCTCTTAAAGCCAGAACAATACGTTTCTTTTAATGCTAGCTTTATCTTCATCATGCGGTACAATACAACTCGGATAAGTTTACATTTCTATGCAAACTGTGTTAATGTTGTACGTTGAATAAATTTGTATTTTATTCAGTCCTTTTTTCTTTACTTACCGGGGTTTTACGAAGAATTCGTTTTGCTTTCTTTGTCACAATAGAAATGTATCAGAAAAGACATCTCACAAAGCCACTATGGTGATCAGACTGCTGATAAACATACTTATTTGTCTCTAAATATATATTATATTGTAGATAAATAACCGCTCAACTAATAAATCATATTTTTTTTTTTTATTTTACGTCTTCGTAACCGTTAATGGTTGTAAACCATGACAAATTGCAATAAGTTTTTTTTCATCCCTTAATTTTCCAAACTTAGGAGGAGAGATGAGACCATCTTTTCACTTTAAACTGATTCAACCAAATATTAATTACAACTATTGCATTTAAAACATTATTGGAAGTGGTTTATATGTATCTTTCGATGTTATCACGTTACATACGCACAAACGAAAAAGAAAATATTTCGTTGACTTCAGAACCTACTTTTTGAAGTCGATTAAAGATTCAATGTTAAATTGTGCCCTTTTTTGACTGTAGTGTAAAAAACAGATGCTATAATGGACTATAAATATATTTACACATTAAAGAGGTCATATTTCCCATACTGCAAAACATCAACAACAAGCTAGACACATTAATTAATTAAAATAACCATCCATAAAGTTTATGGTTCAATATTTGATAACCATTGACGCGCGTCATAACTTTTATGATAAAAACTTCAGTCACTGTGGTGTCCGACACTGTCCACTTTATCACAATATTTATGTGTCGATATTGTATCTATACTGTGAGACTCAATAATTAATACAAGTGTCTCCACAGCTTGTTTTTAAACCGTTTCAATCTGCGCAAAGTAACGATAAATCAACGTATATCAATAAAATTGGTTGTCATATTTAAGACTTTAATTTGATTCTTATATGAACCATTTTCGAATTTATATTTTGGACTCATAAATCAATTTTTATAAATGTTTTATCACCACATATTAAAGTACTAGCTGTTTCCCGCGGCGTCCCTCGCGTTACTATTTCTCATTTCGTGTGTTTAACTATGAAAACGACGAACTGCCTTACAACCGTTAATCCCTTATTTTACCCCGTAGGGGAAAAAATTAAAAAAAAAAACCCTTTCTTAGTGGATGATTAACAGATAAAAAGTATCAGCTGTCAAAAACTGAAGTTTG